TTTAAGTATTTAGAAAAAGTCAGAATTTTTGGAAAAAGTCAGATTTTTAGGAAAAAGTCAGATTTTTTAGATTTTGAGAAAAAGTCCGAATTTTTAGATTTTGAGAAAAAGTCTTTTTTTTTTTGAAAAAGTCAGATTTTTTAGAAAAAGTCAGAAATTGTGAGATTTTTAGAAAAAATACAACGTTTTCAGAAAAAACTCAGTATTGTGTACATGACAGGATGTATGATTACTTAGAATAACTGGTATTCCTCCATCTTGTGACTGTGTAACTCCCTCTCTTGGATATCAGCATGTGAAGGACACTGTTCAGGAACTAGTTGATGCTCTGTATGTGACGACTACTTCCTGAGATTGAAGCTCAAGCCGGTGACGAGTGATTATTATTATTTTTAAGTATTCAGAAAAAGTCCGAATTTTGAGGGGAAAAAAATTGAGACAGAATTTTTTGATAAAGTCGAAATTTTCAGAAAAAGTCAGAATTTTCAGAAAAAGTCAGAATTTTCAGAAAAAAGTCAGTATTTTCTGAAAAAGTCAGAATTTTCAGAAAAAATTCAGTATTGTGTACATGACAGGATGTATGATTACTTAGAATAACTGGTATCCCTCCATCTTGTGACTGTGTAAATCCCTCTCTTGGATATCAGCATGTGAAGGACACTGTTCAGGAACTAGTTGATGCTCTGTATGTGACGACTACTTCCATTCTGGAGACGATCAGAAATACATGGATCCTGAGATTGAAGCTCAAGCCGGTGACAAGTGATTGTTAACATTTTTAAGTATTTAGAAAAATTCAGAATTTTTGGAAAAAGTCAGATTTTTAGGAAAAAGTCAGATTTTTTAGATTTTGAGAAAAAGTCAGATTTTTTTGATTTTGAGAAAAAGTCTTTTTTTGTTGTTGAAAAAGTCAGATTTTTTAGAAAAAGTCAGAAATTGTGAGATTTTTTGAAAAAATACAACGTTTTCAGAAAAAACTCAGTATTGTGTACATGACAGGATGTATGATTACTTAGAATAACCGGTATTCCTCCATCTTGTGACTGTGTAACTCGCTCTCTTGGATATCGAATGTGAAGGACACTGTTCAGGAACTAGTTGATGCTCTGTATGTTTCTAACAATTCACCTCACAATTCTACTGTTTGAGCTTTTACATACAGTATATCTCTGTGTCCTGTGTTTTTTTATATCCGCCTTACTTTCATGCTGTTTGAANATGTGATTAACTAGTTGATGCTCTGTATGTGACGACTAGTTCCTGAGATTGAAGCTCAAGCCGGTGACGAGTGATTATTATTATTTTTAAGTATTCTGAATACTTAAAAATAATAATAATCACTCGTCACCGGCTTGAGCTTCAATCTCAGGAACTAGTCGTCACATACAGAGCATCAACTAGTTAATCACATAGCTATCATATGCCTCAAACAGTCCTGATGCTCTTCTAGGTAATCACACATCCTGTCATGTTCACAGCTACAGTTGGGATACCTGTGTTATCATGTTGCTCTCATATTGGAAGAGGACATTCAGTATTTTCCCAACACTGATAATGGATCTTGAATCAAAGGCATTGACGGGCTGTGTCTCTGTGTTGTTGTTGTTGTTGTTGTTGTTTCTCAGGTGGCTGACCATCTGCACTTCAACCCTCCATCGTTCTTTTTCTCTGATTTCCTGGGACCGTTCACTCGTCGGAGCAGAAGCATTCGCTCGCTCTTCAGAGATCCGTTCCACGGCTTCCAGGATTTGTTCTCCCCGATGATTGGCATGAGCAGAAACATCTTCAGCTCTATGGGCTCCATGGTGGACATGGACTCAGACACAGCTCCCAGTGAAGGTACACAGGGTTCTTACGGTCATTCAAAACCTGGAAAAGTCCTGGAAATTCAAAATGCTAATTCCAGGCCCTGGAAAAGTCATGGAAAATAACGTTTTTCCCAAAAGTTTTGGAAAAGTCATGGAAATGTAACTAAAGTTGCATCAAATATAATTTATATTTTATCTAATCGCCGGAATAGTAATACTATAATGATAATAAATATCGTATTGTATAGTAATGAAACGTAAAATGGCATTTAACTGTCGAGGTATTTTGCTGGTGAGAGATTTTAGTTGCTTTAGCGTTGCTTTAGAAGCTAGTAAGCCAACTATTTGATTTGTTTTAGATAGGCACAACAGACCTTATTTTCCTGTCCCATGTTAAAATAAACAATTTTCAGTGGTACCGCTGAGAAAGAGTAATTTTTTTGGTCATGGAAAATTAGGTAAAGGTCATGGAGAAGTCATTGAAAGTCATTGGTGAAAAAGTGTATGAACCCTGGGTACAGCTCTGACATAAACACATCAGAACTGTAGAAGCCCTCAGTCAGATCAGTCGTTTTAGGTTAGGTCTGTTCATAGCATTTAGTCTATCATCTATAAAACCCAGGTCAAAATGAACACATTAAGCAGTGAGGTAGATTCGTTTTTAAAGTAGTATGAAAAAAACAAGTTGATTAAAAAGGCAGGCCACCTGTTTGCAAACTGTTATTGCATTGTGGAAAAAACAGAAATGTGACCGGGAAAAATGTGTCCCATCAAAGTCAAAAGGTAACCGTTTAACCATTAAAATGCAATTATTGGGTATACAAACTTCAAAGTCTGCATATATGCACATTTGTGTCGTATCATGGGACAAGTGATAATGCGAAAATATAATATCAAGTTGGATATTGAAAGTGGATTTTACAGGGTTTTTCACTTAGTTTTCAATCAAACATGTATTTAAAACGAACATTTGATTGTGATGACATTTTTTTTTAAACTGTGCTTTTGTGTCTTGTTGCAGACGGCAGCCTGAACGAGGACGTGGTCATCACAAAACCTTTTGGCGACGGCTCGATGACCTGCAGGGAGATCCGCCGCAACTCAGCCGGCTGCATCAAGTTCAGAGAAGAGTGTCAGAAGTGCAAAGACATCCAGCAGATGGGTGAGATATAGCATTTCATCTTTCTAACAGTGCTTGATGTCAGTCTTTTGAGATATAATGAAGTGTTAAGCTCAAAATAAGTGATTTCTGTCCACTGTCGTCAAAAACATCACCTAAAAATACACCACAGTAAAGGTCTTTGGTCAGATAGGCCACGGGTTCCCAAAGTGGGGGTCGCGAGATGATTACAAAATAAAAATGGAAAATTCAAAAACAAAAAATTCAAAAAGAAAATTTGATAAATTTTTTTTATTATTTTTTATTTTTTAATTGTTATTAATAATAACGTTTGCATAGAATTTTTTTTCTTTGACAATCCACCAGCGCAGTGTTTCTCAAACCTTTTTTTTTTTTC